TATATATAGAATAATTTCGACAATGTAAATATAGTATAATTTTTAGACTAAGGGGGTTTAGAGGTATCCTAACTCCTCCCCTGGTTCGAACCCAATAGCTTTGGCTCAAATTCTGTATTTGTGTTAAAAAAATTCATTTGATATGTACAATAATCTATCTAGAACCTAGTAAGCAACAAGAACAATGGTCCAGAACCCATATATTAAAAATCCTTGGCTTCACCTTCAGCTATATGAGTCCTCTATATCCATTCGCACTCTATTCGGGCCAGTCTCACTGTATTTGGGTTATTCTATGAAGCAAGAAATCCCATCACACTACAAAAACAGACTCAATCTAGAGATCAATAGCAAGTTAATCAGTACTGTAAATATTCAAAGTTTACCAAAAAAACTACAATTTGACCACAAAAGCTACTCTATAAACAGGAAAACTTGAGACAAAAAAACATATAATTCAAGAATTGGGAGTCCCATATTCATGACATTTACACCATAGAATCTTAAAGACACTATAAAACAAAGAAGAACCAATAATAAAAAAAAACTTGTATGTACCTTTTGGGGAATCATGTGAGGCCTTGATTCCTCATTTCTCCCATATCTCTCATCCTGCCAAAAATTCAAACTTTTATAAAGGTATTAAAACCGACGGCCTATCGAAAACAAACACTCTATCTTCCCAAGATAGATAAGATCTGCATACACTCTATCCTCCTTAGAACCACTCGTGGGATACACTATGTTTGTTATTATTATTATCAAAAAGGGATTAAAAAAAATCAAAACTTTAAAATCAAATTCCACACTAATATTCTAAAAAATCAAGAAAAACCAAATTAACCTGTCTATTATATCCAGTTCTATGATCACTGTTAACCCCATCATCTTCCTGCTCCCCTGTCACCACCTGCACATATTAGCATAACCCCATAAGCATACAGTTAAAAAAGATTGAATCTTTACAGAGTCTCAGTCATGAGTGCTAACCTGCGCCCAACTGGATCTTGACCGTTCATCACGATCTTGATTGTCTCTTTCATTTTCATCATTGCCAAAAGCCACATTCAACAACCCCTTTACTAAACCTTCCATTGTTGATCAAATCAACAACTGGGAATTGTTTTATTTTTTTTTTGGGAGAATTCTGGTAGTGTAGTGTGTGATCTGATAGTGGTGGAATTTAATAGTTGCAGTTGAATGAAGTTGAGAGAGGCGGGTAATGGCATTTATGTGAATATCTTGATTTTTGAGGTTCTTTTGGTTATATTTTGCCGACAGTAGGGACTTAAATGACTATGAACATGTTGTTGACATTAAACGTAAGAAAGTCTTGCAAGAAACTTTTTGAACACCAATTAAGGGAAGACATCTGTCCTGTTTGATTTGGTTTTATAATATAAGAAATAAAATATCCTAGCATTAATTCGCTCGTTTTTATTACGGGGGTGGATATGGTATAGTATATATTGAATTGTCGTATGAAAGTCTAATTTTTGATGTTGTGGTATTTGGTACAATATTTGAGATTTTTATATATAAAAAAATATTGAATATTGTACCGAAGTGTATAAAATTAATTGTTTAGACATTGAGATTTTGACTACTCTATCTGAATTGATTTTTATGTTAATTATTTAAACATTAAGGTGTTTGTAAGATGTAATGAATTGAATTTTATGTTAATTATTTAAACATTTAAGGTGTTTGTAAGATGTAATGAATTGATTTTTATGTTAATTAATTAAACATTTAATGTGTTTGTAAGATGTAATTAAGATGCTTCTTGAAAAGTCGAATTTATATATCTGATATGTAAGCCAAAGTTGAGAAAACTATGGTTCATCATTGGGATGACTCTGATACCATGTAAAGATATGACACCTGAGCCTAACTCAACCCCAAAAGTTAACTCATGAGGGAAAATTTGTCCAAGTCCATATATGGAGACCAAATTCCCATTCCTCTACCGATGTGGGACTTTTTAACAGTCCCTCTCCAGTTCTTTTTGACGGTTAGGCCACACTCTTAAATTATTAAGTGAAGGTAATCATCGTCGATTGAGGATGTAGATAGGGTATGAAAATAAGTAACCGTGATTTTGTCAAACTACAAAATCTAAGGCTTGATGAGCGAACTTCACATTTTTAGAAGAGATATATACTCTTAACAACATTATTATCGACTAGGATCTCAATTGATTAAGCATTTAGAGAAATTGGATGCACATAATCCTTACGATTTTAATGATTTTGAGTACCTTTTCCTGTCTAAAGTTTATTCAACAAATAAGATGACATGAAAAATATATAGCACAGATCTTGCAGCCTTTCTAGCGTAGATCCCGTTCATAAATTTTGAAATAGTGCTAAAGTGCGTATAAGGCAAAATAAATACCTTATAAACTACCTTTAGCCATCATAGATTTCAGTAAACATAGGAAATAAATGAAAAATGAAGACTGCAACATCGATAACTAATAACTATAAAGCTTAAAGGAGCTTTTGATTGCTGTAAAATGATCAGTACCAAAAATTAGGGAAAAGGAGCCTCTGAGGAAGATCCATAACATGTCGTTGTGATCCCAATGGTACAACTATGTACATCAATACACAGTTTGGACTGTACAAACTACTCGAGACTACTTTTCAATTAAGAAGGAAGTAGCGCCACAAACCAGTATTTCTCCAACGGGGAAAGCAAAATCAAGAAAGCTGCTTTGTTTACTGGGTTATTAGACACTGGAATACAAGGAAACAAGCTTACTACGCGTCAATGTGAAGCTGTGGGTCATCGATAACTCTCATTGGCTTCCAATCAGATTCTTCCCTTGGTTGCCTGAGAGCAACAAAATGAAGTGCATCACTGCGCACCTGGTAGATATGACATGCCCAGGGATATGAATCTGGTGCTTCCCAGATCTTTTGTTCTTCAAATACTGTCTCCTCGATCAATGTTTCTGCAACACAGTATACAGCATTTGGTTCCGGCTCAGCAAAATCAGGTACAGCTACACATCCAGGAGAGACAAAGCCTTCAGGAGCACGAGGATGCCAAATTGATATGGGATTCGTGTAATCATCTAAGCAGTTCCTCCACACCAGGTCATAGCCGACTGGGAGGGCAAATAATTTGTCAGAATAACGATATACAGCTGAAACATTAGGAGGATGACAACCAACATGAGTAATATCCCCAATTGAGATGTACCCATGGGGTAAACCGGAAGGGCGCCAGATACTACAGATCCCATCATCTTCTGAAACATTCTTCCGGCACAATGTACAACGACCTTTCAACTCTCGTTCACTGCTCCATACCTTAGAAAATGTGATAGCATGTTGAACAAATTTCCTTCTATCGGAGACAGCACCCCAGGAAGCCAGCCCCCTTGATTCAATTATAGGCTTTTTCTGGCTAAATGAATCTCTTCCATCATTATCATGTGATGCAAAGGATACATGTCTCTGGCTTGAAGGAACCTTTAGTTGTAGACATGCCACGTCAGTTTGATATGCTTTCCATATCTTACGCACAACTGAACAAATTCTTACAGCTTGAGGCACCTCAGTTTCATCTTCAGTGTTGCACTTTATTACCCGGACAAACTTCTGAGACCTTCGGAATTTTTTTACATGGATGATTAAGTGAGAAGGTCTAGGGTAGCCAGCTTTAGCTAATTCAAGTGCCATGAGTTCTTCCCAAGGTACATCCCACATGATTTTGCAGGGCTTCTTGTCCATCTTATCAGCAGACAAACACTGGAGAAGCATTACACGTTTATTAGTCACTAAAACAATCCGCGAATAGGGAACCATAAAATGATTTTCATAATAATCAGACAAGGCAAATTTAGAAGGCTCTTTAAAAAGTTCAGTGCAACCAAAATGACGGCTCTCTTCAGCAAGGTGTAGTATCACTTGACCCTGTGCTTCTCGCTCACTGTAATCTCTAAGTATATTGTCTGCATGAATAGCACGGGGATTTCTTATCCTATGGAAGGTGGTCTTGTTGCTAAGGATTTCAATGCAACGAGAACAACTTGCACCAATCCCGTCGACAGTCAATGAAAAGAAGTCCAATGCTCCACTCACTGGTTGAACAACGAATCCCACCATAGCTCGTCCAAGCCCATGGGCAAAGCCAAGAAGGCCATGTTGTCTAGCACTCTCCACAGGCCTTGTCACTACCCCAGAAACTCCGAATGCAACACCTTGTGCCAGGGCTTCAGTCCCTTGCCTGATCCCTTCACCAACTCCGGTTATTCTTCTTGACCATATCTGCTTTGAACGCAGCTGCAAAAACTGTCCATCTGTTGATAGTTGAGCAAAGCCTTTGCTGAGAGAGGCTAAAGTTGAGCTTGTCATACCCAGCACATCCACTGAAAATATTAAATGCAGAGGGTTATGAATTAAATCTCTAAAAATACGGTTTCCCACTGCAGAAATGACCGAGCTTTTTCTCATAAATCTGTCTCTGCGGATCACTTTTCTTAAATGGATCTGTAATTTGAAGGCATTTCCAACAGCCGACAGTACTGGTCCCCATACGCCTAGAACCCCATCTGGTCTTTGAGCAGGTGCACTCTCTAATGATAACTTCAGTCTTAGTTCAGATATATCAATCAAGTCCACACGTATTTCAGGATCAACCTGGCTGACACTAGAACTGTTTGGTAGGCGATCCAGTTGAAGATTGTTATAGAAATCTACAAAAGCCCAAATTATCGGCTCATGAATGTTAAGCCTCCAGCATTTATCTGTTACCCTTACATTAACATATGGGTATACCTGAACACCATCAATGTTCTCATTGCGCACTGTAAAAGTCATCTTGAGGACTGGATGATGCATATCAATGTTTTGTTCAGGTGCCAGAAGTACAGGCATCAATGTGAGGGGAAGTTGATTGTCAAGCTGCAAGTACCCCAATATAAGCTTAAACTTGCTAGTAGTTCCACCACCATATCCGGTAGCGTAGGATATGAATACTCTGTCTAGATACAAATATAATACCTCTCTGGGTCTATGGTCCACAACAGAAACCCCAATTGCACCCAACTCAACTGTAACTTCTAAATGAGATCCATTCTCCTGCATCTGGTTCTGTATGTGAGAACTGCCAAGATTTCCAACTTCTGCAAGAGACGTGCTCCCTTCTTTTGAACTTAATAATGCTGCTCCCTCATCGATAAACCTAGCAACCCTGACATCAGCCATATCTATAACATGGAAAAGCAAGCCTAATTCATCACACTCAGAACAGAACCCTGACTTCTCCAAATCAAATTTCCAGACCCTAGAGCTATTGCCACTGTAAATCTCAGCATCAATAAGTTTTTGGCCATAGGGATTCTCCCATGAAAAGTTTGTGGTTGAAAGAGGCAATAGCTGGATCCATGCATCATTGCCAAATCCAGATTGCCGAAGTCTAATGACCTTCCTCTTCGTCCTGTTTTCGATCCTATCAAGCATATATAGTTGATTAATGAGACAAGATTTGAATTAATCAGAAGCTTGAAGTAGCAGAGCCCTGTAACTAAACATAGATTAATCAGGTACCTGATTGGACCCCTTGTTGATCCAACGCGAAAAACAACAATGAAACGTGACCCCTCTTCAAAGCCACGGACTTCCATCTTCAAAAATCTCCGAGTGCCATCATTTCTCCTCAAGACAAGAGGAACTGTGTCCTCCTTAACAATTTGAACAGGAAATGACCAATTTGTATCATCCAGTCGGACCTTCAAAATTGATATTAAATTGTAAGTGAATTTGCCTGCTATCAGCTAACTCTCAAAAACTGCAATAACTAACAATCAAGAAGGCGGAAAAAATGAGGGATTATGTGGTATTATTGACACCTTCCTTCCAAAATGAACACGTAAGAAACTTCACCAGGAAATTTACTACATATCCACTTTTTCAAACTAGCACAGCCATGGTCCATAATCTATGGTCACACCAGTAACCCTAATAGTACCTTGTTTAAACAAATAGTCAACACGTTTATGGCAGCGTCTAGAGTGGAACAAAATTACTTTGATTAATGCATCAGAAATGGCAGAAAAAAAAACTTTATAGCACCATAAATATACTAAATTCCAAATGAGAAATATATAATGAAAATCATAAGGCTGAGAGATATATCCTCTTAGAAATATAGAAGTTCAAAGCCAAATGAAGACAGTTCGTTACCATATCATTCATGCCTCACGGTTTCAGAAGAGGGCGAAAAAGAAAGAAGTGTAGACTGTGTAAGACACCAATATTAGGGATGTATTTCCCATAGGCATTTTTTAATTAATTTTAAGTTCAGATAACACAGTACAGAGAATCCACTCACCTGGAGTTCATCAGGTCCACCTGTGTCGCGATATACAAATGAGGCTCTGACATCAGATGCACGTAAAACCTTTGGCTCATCTTCGCTGCTCAATTTCAAAAATATATCTTGACCAAGTCTATTGGTAAATGTAACAAATGGCCGAACAGTAATAACCTGCCAAAAGAGCTGGTAAGTACTCAGTAAAGATGTTTGAATTGGATTCTATAGGAGTTAAGAGAACGAAGCTGATACTGCTGTTGAGACAGAACCTTCGTTGGAACAGTTTGATAAGGGCAAGGTTTTGATGATACAAAAAGCCGCATGCAATTTCCATCAGTGTTGTAGGCGCAGAAATCCAACGAGCCATCCTAATATTGAGGACGGATTATGGATAGGTTTCTAAACACGGATAAAACATATACTACACAGGATAAAGATTCTTTACCATGTCACCCAACGGAGAAAGATCCTTAACAGGACCAAAACTCTTCTCACCCGACAGTGATGCTGAAAGGCCTAGCAACTTGAAGTTTATAACAGATGCAATTGTATTTCCTTCATATATTTCCTCCTCAGAGATCTCCTCTAGGACAAGATCATTATTCCTTTTAGATAGCAAAGGCAAAGCAATCTTCTTCTTTGTTTTCCGACCACTCAAGTCTATAAGCCTGAAAGTAATTGGCGGACATCGTGCAACTGAAAGCCAAAAAGGAGCATAGACCTTGGTAATCTTTGCTTGCAGCGGCCTTTCATGGGTATGCGTATGTTCAGCAATTACTTGAACAATCCTGCAAGCGCCAGTAGCTTAAAGAATTAAGAATGAAAACTAAAATAACATTTTACACAAAATGAAGAAAGAACTTAATCAGCTATCTTATTTTCTTTGAGACCTTCCAGAAATTGAACTTCTTAGATTTATTGTCTTTGAAGGTGCCATCTTAGGATGGGATATGAGTATAGCCTCCTGTAAAGAACGTTAAGAAGTTAGCATCATTACAGTGCATTAGAAAAGGCATCAAGAATCAACTGGGTGAAGAGAACACAAAGTTATCACAACAACTAACATGTAACGGCAACCATCCTCTTTGTGGAAGCAACGAGAAGTACAAAGGATTCCTTATGTTGGCACTATAAACCTTGACAGATTCACCAGGAGAGAATATCCCTCTAACGCAAGTGAGAAAATGACCACTGGCTTGCATCTCAAGAACAGAATATTCAGCAGTAAGAGGAAGATAATTGGTAATCGCAAGGGGTGGCCTGATCACAAGGGTCCAATCTTGAATTGGATCAGAGTGCATGTCCTTTGTGATCTCAGTTGCTTGTATACTCAAGCAAAACCACATGCCCCGGTTACTGTTGGATGAGGTTCCACTAACTGCAGGGCAGTATAGGAGTTCCTCAGACTCACTGAGATTTGATACAGATATTCCAGCGTTTTCTGTTGGCATCTCAAGATCCCGAGTGTTTCCAGACACATCCATTACAGAACTCCATGAATATTCTTCAGTTTTTCCCAAGTAAGAAGGCCGCACTCGCAGTACGTATAGTCCAGAATGGGTCAGGACAGATAAAGGCAACGGAACAACTTCCCCAGGTCTTATAGGCCCAACATAAATCTGAGCCTTGAGATCTCTTGACTTGCCTTTCCTGTTCCTAAGCCACCGTCTCTGTTTTGCATAGTTAACAGATTTTAGTGGATTGGACGACTCTGGCCATTTCAAACTATTGAAATCTGGAGCATAAACCCATCCATCAGCAGTGTTCACAGATTTCTTATCTACATGCCATTCATCAACCCATTCCCAGCCTGATGGAAGCTCAACTTCATTTGTCCCCTACCCAAATGACAGAAATTGATGGCTTAAGACCAGAAATAGAGAAGCCAATTGCTACTTAAGTACAGGTAAAAAAACAATAAAATGTGGATACATACCTCATTAGCGTCAAACCACCCAATATCAGGATTATATTTCTGGGTCTCAAAAAACTCATCTGTCACAACTTCATCAACATAAACCTCTTGTGTCTCATCATTATCATGTCTTTTTTTCTCATTTGAAGCATTGAGCGTGAGCTGTAAATCCAGTGTAAATTCTGTGTAGTTACGAACTAAAACCAGAGATCTAATCTTGACATATCGATTTCCATCAGCTACGCTCACTTCACTGGCAACAACAGTATTTCCTAGTCGCCAACAAGCAGCAGGTGCAGCATAATTCAGCCTCACAGTAGTCCAAGGTCCTTCTCTGGTAGGACTAATCTGGATAAACCCAGATCTTGCCTTAGTGTTATAGGACTTCTCACTCTTTCCAACTTCAAGTTGAGGAGACAAGTAAGCAGCTAATTTTATTCTTCCTGATGATTTCATTTCTTTTCCTTCACTAGTTATCATCTGCATTTCATGGTGAGATAAGCAAGACACCATAAAAAAGTAGCAAAACGGGACACCGTAAAGCAATTCCTATTTTGTTTTCAGGAACAATATAAAAAGAAGAAGGAACAGAAGAGAAAATCACCGTAGACCCCGAAGAGGACAACTCTAGCCAATTGAATTCAAGTGAACTGTTGTAAGACGCTGGATTCTCTTGGGGTCTAAATATATGGTTCAGCGGAGCTAATGAATAACCAACAGTATAACCTGCAAAGAACAGTTCAAATTAAAAATACAGCACCACACATTAGTCTAATCTGTATCAAATGGACAACTCAGACGCCTGTTAAGATATAGACACAAATACAAAAAGATAAATAGAAATTCTGACAGGCTCTCAACATTTATTTCTTCAAACACACATTCTTCCAATTTCCCGTTCAACTAAAGTTATAGTTGATGAGAATATCTATATTTACGATTGGATAAATGAGCTTAAGCTTATGATGAATAAATCTAATCAGAAAACTATGTCAACAGAAAGGGCCACCTCAGAGGGATGAATGTACCAGAGCTGGTTAAAAAACAGGTTTCTACTGCAAATATTCCATTCTTTCACAAGCAGTGCAAGAAAATATCACGCAAATGTAAAGCCCTGCATGCTCCTATATGCTTGTTTTTTGATCAGGTATAAGATACTATTAACAATAAGTTTTTTTAAAAAAACGTTATACCAATAAGTAGAAAATCTTACAAAAAGATATGGTTTTCTACAAATGACACGCAATCTTCTACACCTACCCGCCCTCGTGGGTGCATAAAAGAGGAAATAAGGTTAAGAGACAAGTTCACTAATGTACAAGATCCTTCATTATTCAATCAAACCCATACACTTTTAAACCCATTTCATGCTTCTAAATGTGCTATTTAATGCTATTATATGTTTGGGGTTGGATATGTTGCTTAAACATAGTGTCGATTGTGGAACAATGATTTGTTTGTTGGGAAGAATCAGAAATGAGTGGGCTTGATATGGTAGCATAAAGGGAGGAGCATTGAAGTTAAAAAATGAAGGGAAGCACAGTAAGCCTCCATTGTAGTGCCGGGTTGATTCAGCAATCACGCACACGACATGTGCACCATAGCGTGAAGAGAAATCCTTTCACGTGATGGCTACACCATGACGCGACTTATCTGATGTACTAGCAATATGAAAATCTGAAAGATGGGATTTTCGCCCCATTCTTCCTACACCCAAGCTAGGGCACAAGACATTGAAGATGTTTTGACCCCAAATCCTAACCCAACCACCAAAGAGAGTATTATATGGATTATTTGTGTTATATTATGATATTAACACAAATATCACCTGGCTTGATGAATTTTTGATAATATGGTATGGGTAGATTATCCATGGTGGAAATAACCCCTTTGATTGAGGTTAGGGCTATGGCTCGCCTCGAGGTGGTTAAGAGATTTTGATCATCATTGGTTTGAATTCCAAAGATTTAATTGTTGTAGTGGATGAATAGAGGGAATGTAAATGAGTTAGCGATGATGGGAAAAGGACGGGTGCATCTTGATTCACCCTAAATTCACTTCCATGGCATGGGTAATTTATTTATGACGAAACTTACACAACTAATCAAATAAATGAGGACATGAATATCCCATAAAAGATCAACAAATCCATAAGAACATCAAGCTATTCACTTGGGAAATGTATCATGTTACTCACTTACAATCAGTTATGAATGAAGTGGAAGCACTAGAAATTCAATTTGCTATGTACTTTTTGGAAGATAGTTGGTAGATGGTGTCGTTAATATGCAGGTTCCAGCAACAAAAGAATCCATACGAGGCCTTTTTTAGCATGCATCGCTAAACGTCTTAATTTAACTTTTATCCAAACATAAGCTGGTTGCAATTAACCAGATTCTGATCCTTCCTGGTAAGCAGATTCAAGAATGCAATTAGACTTTCCAGTTACTGCTTCTTGCCACTACCGTGATAATGTTTTCACAATCATTTCAGTCATAACACAAATGCTTTTCTGATTAATCAAATTCAAAAAAGTGCCTGTTTCGAGTGAGACCAACAAAGAGAAGATTTCTGGATATATTGGAACTCTAAATTGCATGAGCTATGAAAATAAGGAAGCAGCAAAAACGACAAAATAGTAGTTAAGAAATACCTCTTCCCATATCCATTACAACAAGCTCCAGATTGCAGAAATCCTGTTTGGTAATAGAAGCATGACAATGAAAATTTTCAAAAAACGATGAGGAAAAAGCTTGACGTTAAATAAATTGCAAGATAAGAAGCACGCAAAACAATTATTATTAGCCAAAAACATAGTAAAAACAACAACAACCCATGTGAAATCCGCCTAGGGAATGTAGAGTGTACACATGCCTTACCACTACCTCTCCGAGGTCAAGAGGCTGTTTCCGAGAGATCCTCGGCTCAAGCAAATCAAGGCAGTAATTTAAAGAAAAACATGACAGCTAATAGCAAAGTAGTGCAGAGCATGCATGCAAGAAACCATAACATTAAGAACAAGGTGTAGTTCACAGTAAACCACAGGTGATAATCAAAAACCCAAAACCAAAGCCTGCATGAATATGTTAATACTATGACTGACACGGAGATCCACCCAGCCAAGGACATGAATAGGCTAGTAATAGGAGCACCTCGCAACTACCTACTAACTTTCTACCCTTATTCGTGACCTCCATCCCCTCCTGTCTTAGGTTTGTCCTCGGTAAGTAGCAGATGTGTTATATGTGTTGGACATAGATGACAGAAAGTCACTAAAAAGTAAATATGACTACATCCATCAACAACTATGATTAGTACACGTACATGGAAAATGCTACAACTTATTCAGAAAAATAGGAGGGCAAAAAGAGCTTTTGGGGGTGGATGGGGGACGAGTGCCCCTTATCCATATTTGGAAAACAAAATTATTCATTTACTTGATTCCTTCAAAATTCAGAAATTACCTTCCAGTCTCTAATTTTTTTACTATGTTCTTTTGAGATCTAACATAATGGCATGGCCTTACGGGTACAACCTTGGTCTCACCTAAAGCAATGGAAAGAAGATGTATCTTTTTGGTATGCTCTCTCTCTCTCTCTCTCTCCTATGTAAACCTCTATATGATCCTAAGAGGAACCAAGCACACATGCAAGAGAGGGAGGGCAATGTACTATGCAAGTCAAATATATTTTCTCCTTGTGTCAGTGATCAGAAAACCTCATAATAAAGCACATTGAGGAACCTTGACTCAGAGAACCATTCAGTGTTGTTATTATATCTGACAGGTGCAACATGATCAACAGTTGTACTCACTAAGGTCCCACCAATGTAATGCATGTTCCACTGACTCCAGAAGCAAACATAAAAATGATGTGTTTGCAGGAAACACAGATAAAAGGTCACAGTTGTTTGCATAATATGAGCAGTTTATGTTTTGGTGAAAACCATTTTCCATAAGTAAACCCTTAAAGACTGTATTTCTGCAACAAAGATGGATAAGCATATAAGCAACAGGTACACAAAAGTCAGCAGCACAGAATGGAGTTCTATCCAAGAAGTTCATGTAATTGTCTACAAAACTTGGAATGTCAGAAGATGATACAAATATTAATCCACCCCTCCCCCTATTAAAAAAAGAAAAGAAAGAAAGAAAACAGGAAAAAGGAGTACAAAATACTCTACTCTCAACACCTTCCAAGCTCTTCCATTTCTGTATCATTACAATTCACATTAAGCTTACACGTTGTAATGACTCTCTCATTTGCATTTGCTTCTTTCAACCACTTGGCAATTCAAGCTATCGAAAGTATGACTAACCAACTTAATATAAGGATCTTGAGAACCCAATTAGAGTTCCTCATTATGGTCAACAATTCTTGAATCTGAATCCTTAGATGATTCTTAATTAAAGGATTAATTGAATAAATTTTGAAGAAGAGACCACCTCAGAGCCACTAAGCATTCTATGAGCAGACAGACATGCAATATATGCAGCAAGTATATTATTTTCAGGAACATGCAATATAATAGTAATATGAATTCATGATGTACGTCCTATGAGACTTTGCAGAGGCAGAAAGTACAGACCGGTGAATCAACTTTGAAGAAAAATACTTCATTCCATTTCACTGAGATTATATCAGAAGATATAGAACCATATGAGCTATTGCCACGAGTGCGTGCACTTTGTTGAATGGACAGAGATGGACAAGGGTGACTCTGATCTGGAGCAAGACGGACTTCTACGGCATACTCATGAGAAGACAAGCCTTCAACCTGTTGGAACTGCATTTCAAAGGCGTCAATGTAAGAAATGGAGGATCATCCCTTCATGTATATGGAGGACAATTTGGAAGGAAAGAAATGACAGATGTTTTGAGGATAGAAGCAATTCAGTACAGAAGATTAAGATTTGTTATTCTGCTTTTGGTGTACAAATCTGTACTCTGGTGATACAGAATCAATCCTAGATGTCCTAGATACCATTTTAGTTTGATCTTATTTGTGGCATACTTTATATCTATTTTCACCTTTGTAAATATGACTTTTCAATACTACCTATGTACAGCTTTTGAATACAAAATGCTACCTGTTTCAAAAAAAAAAAAAAAAAAAGCGTCCATATGAGTTACAAACAACAATAACTAAGACAACAGGCTTCCAAAGACTTCAGATATAAATTAATCAGCATCTTATAGATGAGCCGAACTTGTTAAAGTTAGCTGGTTCCAACAAAAAGTTATCATGGGAAGGGTATATTATTTTGGGTTGGATAAACTATTGATAGAGGCGGGTTTTTTAATTTCATCCAATAAAAAAAATTTGAAAATTTTAGAGACTAGATTTCTAGTATAAAAAATTTCAAATTGTTTATAATCATAGAAAAAACACTTATAATGTTCTGTTAGCACTCAATATATCACTCTGACAACTATTTTTATTGTCTGATGCCGCCTTTTTAAGACACAGCTCATGAGTGATGAGGTGTATACCTTTATTTCTTGACATCTGCTTTAGCATCCTTAAACAAGAAGCACACAACACGGGTTTCACTTAGGCTATAGGGATAAGCATGCCTTTAGTGAAATAAATAACACTGGATAGACCCAGAAAACAATATAGGTTACCTCCATTGCATCTTCTATAATAGAAAACACAATAGTTCTCTAGTTTATGTTTATACCAACTAAGGATTGCAAGAACATTAATTCAGATAAGATATTGCTTCAAGGAAAAACTTTTGCAAATGAACTTCCTAGATGAGCCTCAGTTCCAAATGATTCATTCCAACAAATGGCAAAGAATCATGCTAGTCTAGAAAGACAAACCAGTTAGGAAACTATTTACTATTATTTTGGTTCTGAAAGTTTTGGAACTCCCAGGAGAAACAATTCTTATACCACTGAGCAGAGGGGGAAAAAGGGTTGCATTCTGAAGCAGACAGCAGAAGGTTGATAGAGTCATGAGTACAACAGAAAAAAGGTATCCCCTATCACATGGTCTTCCCAAATCTTAATCAATGTACCAACGATTGCTCTCATGGAAAGTGGAGCCAGAGAAGGCTAAACTTGATATGAATTTGCAAGAACTTGAATGAGTCATCCCGTACCTGTTTTTTCTTATCATTAGATAGAGATTTAGAATCTCCACAACCATTTCCCTGGTAAATGTTTCTAGGAAGCAAATCACTTAAACCCTAACTACTACCAGAAGTCAGGAAAGATGATTTTATTCATCTTGTCTCTACTCTCTCTCTCTCTCTCTATTAATCTATCTTTGACAAGCATAAAAAATAGCGCAAGTCTCATGACTTAAAAGTAGCAGCAAATGCAGCTCCACAAGCATCTATTGTGAAACAGCTAGTAAATTTTCCTAGTTTCCATGTCCTCCATTAAACACAACACTGTCATTTATGAAGGAGCTGATGTATTTTACACAAATCTTTAGTTTTCTATTACCACTGTAAAAGAAACTGGATACATACCTCTGCAGCTGCTATGATTATTGTCACCATTATATTGCCTTTTTCAAAAAAACTTCCTTTCAAGTGTGAATCTAGCATATTCTTCGCAACAGGTACTTTAATTGGTTTGCTATCTCCAGAAGGCATTTTAATTATGCTGGGTAGTCCCCTGATTTCTGTAGCTCTTATGAAAATGTCCTGACCAAGATTATTCTGTGGGATAATGAAGTAATTTCTTCTGTGATGAACATCAATGATGGACCTGCTTCCTCCAGTTGGTGAGACTGCATCCTGTCAAATAAAATTAGAAAAATAGGGATACATTACTAACAGTAGGAGGAGGATATACAAGATATCTGATACAATATCTCATGAAGCATAGTGAATTGCATATTTTAGTTTGAATAGTTTCTTGAATTACTCAAATGTTGTGTTAAGATATTCAGTGGAATGAATCACATGGTAATATCTCATGTATATATAACAAGTAACAGCAGGTAGCTGGAGAGAAATTTTTAGTGTAAGTAATGATCCTTAAACATGGGTGCTCTTTAAGCTTGGGTGCTCCATACTGAAGAAATTGATACCAGGTTAGAATATTTATCAAAGAAAGAAGATTTGCCTGGTAGGACTCCTTGGCATGGCTGAGGTTATTCCAGCTGGCATAGGCCTGAAATATTGTGTTGGCATTAGACACAGATATATTTAAGTTCAAATCCCTTGTAGATGCAAGACGAATCTGGGAAGCTGCACCAGGAGCATGGACATCGTACTGGTACCTGAATATTTAAAAAATCACTCCAGATAATAAATCCTCAAACTGAGGTGCTCTCATACATGCTAAACATTTTGCAGAAAAGGAGGTTGATATGCTAGGTCAAAAAATACCCCCAGCAACTACATCTCTACAATAAAAAATGTAGTGAATGTTGAAACCAAAATATAAGTAGACATCCGACAAAAGCAAAGATTGACCATCTAAGAGAAACAAACACAGAATTCAGAATAGGAATGACTCAAATGGTTTGATAGTTCCCATATAGATACAACTCATGCTATAATGGCAAGATTGAAAAAAGTTGCAGTTCCAGTCTACAGTTATGATCCAAAATATCAAGGCAGAATGTTTGGGCAAGACAAGAAAGGAACTTAATCTTTTTCTGAAAAGGGCAGCCCGGTGCACAAAGCATCCCGCATTCATGCAGGGCCAGGAAGACACACCTCAAGGGGTGTGAACTTAATGTGTCTTCGAAAAAAAATTCAAATGATCAAATAACTAGAATATAATCAGTAGTTCCATGATCAAGTAATGTATGGATTTCATATAAAAATCATGAAGAGGAAGAGAACATTTCACACGATGTGTCACGGTAGAGTACCAGGGTCCTAAAAATTCTAGTTTCCATTTCAAGGAAAAAAATTGTAGCTTATACTCATCTTACTCATCAGTAGAACTGTTACAATAATAATGAAAGAAGTAGTGGAAGTTAAAAAAGTAGATAGAAAAAAACCTCAATGATCCGTCAACTGGCTCCAAAAGAGGCTCCCAAGAATCATACTTATCATTGTATGATCTAGCAGCCAAGGAAAAGGTCACACTGGAATTCAGATAGTCAGACCTTTGATGTAAATTGAAAGTTATGCCACTGAAAGACACGTTACACAAAGGAACCATCTGCGAATTGAGTAGAACAAAAAGAGATATAAATTAATAATGGATATACCCTGTTAATGTAATCCAGAATAACAAATAGCATGTAGAAGCATTAATAGCCTGTTTCTTCTGAAAGATCAGAAGTGCTTCTTTTTTTTCAATAAAGCACTTCTTTTTAGGTTTGTGAAGAAATTAAATGCTTTAGAATAGTAGTGGAAGATGTCTTTCAGTTTGAAGCTTTCTCCTAAAAATAAGTGCTTCAGATTTTTTTATGACAAGAATACCCATATAAGAAAGAATTGACAACTGATAAGCATATCCTTTTTCGCAGTTTGACACAAAACACTTCTTAAAAATATTGGCCAATCACAAACTGCTACTCTCCCAAAGAGCTTGTTTAAAAAACACTTTTGATATGAAGATCTTCTCAAAATAAACTGATTTTGACAGCTTGACCAGACATGTTACAAGTAGTAGAAATTGGGAACTTATTTATATGTTGTGAGAAATATAGGAAAATAATATTATTGAATTGTTGTTGTGTCTACATTATTTCATTGAGACCCTATTTATAGACCCTGGAATACAATCATTTACCAAGTAGGATACTATTAAGTATTCCTATTTCTATTTCTATTTCAATTCTAATACGATTGTATAAACCTATTCCTATTCTAATAGGATTGTATAAACCTATTCCTATTCTAACACTGCCTATAACACCCCGTATTCGAAACAGACCAAAATTCAGATTTCGAGAAGTTGCAGGTGCAACTTACAGTCACCATCCACGGACCGTAGGTTAGACCACGGCCCGTGCTGGTGGTCCGTGGTTCACCACTGCAACCTCTGCTCAAACCAGCTCAGAAAATTGGCTAAGTCCCGACTCACGGACAGACCCACGGTCCGTAGATCAGACCACGGTCCGTGGTCT